CGCTGGAGTTAATCGTCGCCAACACTATCGTGAATACAAACACCAGCGACTGGACCACCAGTGTTACCGATATACGGGTCGATAGGGAACCGTATCTGTGGACATGTATTGTTTTTTAGACTTTTTTGTGGTGATTATTCTGGAGATAATTTTTGTTTGTATAGTATTTTTGGTATTTTTGTGCAGAATTTCCATTTGTTAGTAAATATGATGTCATTATTTTTTTAGTGGAAATACTGTATTTGTATTGATAGTAAAAATTCCTTATCGGGAAATATCCACTAATATTGAAAATATTTTTCATTTATTTTTATATTTAATATAAATCTAAAATACAAACTTGAATTTAATATTAATATATATTTTTTTGTTTAGCTAATGACAGTTTTCAGTGAAACTTTTCACTAACCATTAGTGAATAAACAGCCAAATTTAATACTGTATTAGTTTAGAAATAAACATAAATAAAAATAGGACGCAACTTAATATAAAATGCTTTTTGATTAAAATGTCCTTGTCTACTTAGTTTATAATTGATTCGAGCTCTGGTTTTATTTCAATAAAAACTAAAAATAGTCACAAAAATCATTTGATGTGTCCATCACATGTCAATTAAGTTTTAGGGAAAAGTTTATGAATCTTTTTATATTGCCTAAGACTATGACTAGAAAATCAATTGATATATACATGTGTTTACATAAACATCTTATTTATAAATGAATTGTCGATTATTGACAAGAATTTAGTGTTAATGTCTACAAATTGAGTATTTTATGCGATACTTACGCTGTATTGGCAAACATATTGATAATCTGTAGTAAAATATTGGGCGCTTTGGATGCAATTCCCAGATATGACAAAAAGTTTGTCTTATAGTTGTCCAGAGTTTGCGTCGTTTCGTTGACATTCAGTTTGTAATCAACGAAATACTGTTTATAAACAAATTATCACTCAATTAGAAACAGATATTAATATATATACTTTTTGCAATATTATACATATAAGTTTGCTTAACTTTTTTAATTATAGTATTAAGTTTGATATTTTAGAAATGTTTGAATATTTTGCAATTAATTGAAGCAATCATTCAATACTTGATTTCCATTAAAATAACATTTAAACAAAATTTATCATAAAATGTTGCTTTGATTGAAAAAATATGTAAAACCTGATAAAATATTACTTTTGAGGAAATTATATTTTTTATAATTATTTAAATATTATAATATTTATCATTAGCAACTCATTATGAAAAGCTTAAACAAGCCTTTAATTTAATGGATTCACGAAAGGTGCTGGATCATTTATTTATCAATAAGTCATTATAAGTTACTCACACTGTCAGCATTAATAAGCATATTCCAGGGCAATAACGTACCGATGCCATGAAGTAGTAATATTATAAACACCACATAAAACCTATTAATAGTTACATAAAAAGTATTTACAAAATAATATAATTTATAACTTTTTTAGAAACAAACCTATCGTTTGGAGACATAGCCGTAGACACCACTGAATGAATAATGCGTTCAAATATGAAACACAAAATTATTACTCAGTTTTATATGATATCAGCAAGCAATTAAATAGATAATATTATGAGTTATATACTTGTTTTCAATGGAAATATCACTTTAGCCCTTAACGCGATGGTAGGGAACAATACCGGGAGATAATCGTTGGCATACAAAATGTGTTCAAAATCTCTATCGGATTACAATTATATTAATAATATAGATATGGATGTACTTTGGGTTTAATTGTATGACTTTTGTGTGGCTCCCAATTCAGATAACATACCATTCCATCCGTGTTGAGATAATTGTGTTAATTATATAATAGTGTTGATTACTGGTAGAGAAAAAACATGTGAATTGTTTTGTTAATACATTGATATCCCTGAAGTTTTCAACGCTAAATAATAGTTAGTTAATTTTAGCACGAATTTTGAAATTAATTTGTTTATCAAGTAAAACATCTTTTTTGCTAAAATAGTATTTATTTATACCAATAATTACTGAATTTTATCAATTTTATGTACTCAACAAATAGGCACTCAATACAGGTACTAAATAAATAGGCATAATATGTACGTTACCTTAACGAGTGTTTTGTTATATAACCTTATATACCCAGATCCTTTTCACGTAAACTTGACTTATAAGCTATGCAGACACTTAATTTATTACACATAAATTTCATATGAAATACATTTTATATTAAATAATGAATTTTGTCGTTTGATTTAAATACTAAATTGCAATTCAATTGCGATTAAAAAACGAGTAAACGTTTACAATGGGATAGAAAAACTTGATATGATTTGATTGAATGCCACAAATAAAGTGAGAAACTCATTGAAAGTGATATTTTTCTTGTATGACATTCAAGTGGTATATAATTTTCTGTATATAAAATTGATATAAATATTATATTATTTATTAACTGTTAGAGAGAGAGAGAGAGAGAGAGAGGGAGAGAGAGAGTTTGATAATTAAATGCTAATTAAAAAATTATATTATTTTATCGTAATTATATTGTAATATAGTGTTAGGTTTTATACTAGAATATGATAATTATTAGACAATTATAGAAACCACCTTGGTGACAATGCCCTGAATTCTACTACAATCTGCAATTTATAAATTATCGCATATGGATGCGTCAAATGATATTTATTTTGTCAATAACTTATAGATTAATAAAGTATTTGAAAATGATTTCACAGTTTGCTTTTAAAAATCAAAGGCACCGGTAGTTACAACCAAAATATGTACTGAATATCGTATATGAGATACTTAAAATTGCAAAGTTTTTTCATGATAATTTATACAAAAAAGTTTATTTAATATCAAATTCTCGCTATTACAGTAGACTTTTAGTCTATCAAAATAATCTAATAATTTGTAAATGTTTTCGGTTTTTATATCCTATTAAATGTTTTTATGAATAATATTATGTTTACATCACTGGCGATGACTACTACTTCAGAGAAATAGTAATTATGTCTTTAAAGTATAGCTTATTTTTCATGTGAATTTATTTTAATAAGTAACCCTTTTATTAAGTAACATGTGATATAAAAACCAACAATTTTATAAAATATAGATTCAAAGGAATTAATTAAAGTCAGATTTTGTGAGATTAATGTCAAACTTGTTTTACAAAAAAATTGTTTGATATTTATTTTATTTTTTTACAATATATTATTTTAGTATAATTTACTTAGATAATTATAATAATTTTAAAAGTATCTGGATATACTCCACACATATTATAAAATGACATTTAAAACAAAGTTCATTTGCTTATATTCTCTCTAATAGTATAAAATACATGCCTTTATTGGATATCCTTTTTCCGTAAATGATTACCAGGGAAAAAACACAGTATCGCGTAATTTTAAACACAAAACAATGTAAAAACAAATCATATTTTCTATGTTTGATATAAAAAATGGCATCCAATCTGATGATGATGTCTATACTAAGAGTTAATGAATACTTAAGACTACTTTCAGTCTACAAGTTCTATGTGATGATTGTATTGATAATATTTGTGGTTATATTTACGTTGAGTTTAACTGTTATGTGTTGTATGTATTGTATTAACCGTAAGAATAGTGACAAAAATATATATCCAAACAATGATGAGAATCGGGAGCTATTGACAAACACTCAGCGCAAACGGTTTGCCACAATTCACCTGCAAATGAATCCATCGCTATCTATGTCGAGAAAGACTGAATATTTTTACTAAACATTCATTTTATTGTTTTAATAATTCATCAGCATACTAATAATAAATAAGTATAATTTAGCTTGAGATAATAAATTAACAATATTGGTACTGTAAATGTATTGTAAATAAACCTTGATTAAATAATAATATGGTAACTAAGAACATAAGAATATTTAAGTAAAATATATTTTAAAGTGTTTTAAAAATATTATAAATTATTAATTTGACTCAAATTGATTACAAATGCAGTGTTTTACTTAATTAGATTTTAATGTAAATTGTAATTAGCAATTAGAGTACATTAATTAAAGTATTAAATGAAAAATAATTAAAGTATTCGTGTATTAAAAACACAAAATAACTTAACCGACGGACACATTGACATCAGTGGCACCCCTTCTGTTGTAAATGTATTTATTGCGGATCCTATCCCTTATACTACCAGTCCGTACGGGACGGATATAGGGGTCCTCTTCAATGTCAAT